GAACTATTTATGGTAAGTAGAACAACATACAGATAATCAAACGATTTTTTTTCATTTAATTTTGGATACTATTGATTTTGACATCTACTGTGATTACTATTTTTCAGAACTCATGGGAAACACTTAGATTTGTATTATTCAAACATACATCAGATCACTTTACAAAGCTGACATTTCTACCCTTCCACCATGTTCTATCTCTGCCCCAATATTTATTTTTTATATAATTTTTAGATGTAGAGAGGCTTTTAGGTGGAGCTGAGGACAAAACCCAGTGCCTCACACGGGGTAGGCAAGCGCTCTACAACTGAGCTACAGCCCAAGGCTAATGTGCACCAATATTTCTGTTCTTCTCTTTTAAAAACATGAGTGCTGCACCTGTCTGTATCCTGCCTCTACCTGTGGAGTATATGCTTGAGGACAACCCATGTCAGAGCACAGGGCTCCCCTCCTCCCTGCAGAGACACCCTACTAGACACCCTCCAGAAAAGCCCAGAACTGGGTGAATGCACAGCCGAGTTCTACAAGACCTTTAAAGAAGAACTAATACCAATACTCTTCAATATATTTCAAGAAATAGAAAAAGAGGCAGCACTTCCAAACTCATTCTATGAGGCCAATATCACCCTGATCCCCAAAGCAGGCAAAAACACATCAAAGAAAGAAAACTTTAGACCAATATCTCTAATGAACATAGATGCAAAAATTCTCAATAAAATTCTGGCAAATTGAATACAAAATCGTATCAAGAAGATCGTGCAACTTGATCAAGTGGGACTCATCCCAGGTATGTAAGGTTGGTTCAACATACAGAAATCAATAAATGTAACTCATCACATCAATAGATTCAAAGATAAGAATCATGATTATCTCAATAGATGCAGAAAAAGTACTTCACAAAATACAGCACCTTTACATGTTCAGAACACTAGAAAAACTAGGGATAACAGGAACATATCTCAACATCATAAAGGCTATCTATGCTAAGCCTTAGGCCAACATCATTCTAAATGGAGATAAATTAAAGATATTTCCTCTAAAACTGGAATGAGAAACAGGGATGCCCTCTTTCACCACTTCTATTCAACATAGTTCTTGAAACACTGGCCAGAGCAATTAGACAGATGAAAGAAATTAAAGGGATGTGTATAGGAAAAGAAGAACTTAAATTAGCAACATTTGCTGATGATATGATTCTATACCTATAAGACCCAAAAAGCTCCACCAGAAAACTTCTAGAACTATTAAATGAATTCAGCAAAGAATCAGGATATAAAATCAACACCCATAAGTCAAAGGCATTTCTATATATCAGTGTCAAATCCTCATAAAGGGAAATGAGGAAAACTACCCCATTTACAATGGCCTCAAAAAAATATAAAATACTTGGGAATCAATTTAATGAAAGAGGTAAAAGATATATACAATGGAACTACAGAACCCTAAAGAAAGAATTCAAAAGACCTTAGAAGATGGAAAGATCTACCTTGCTCTTGGATAGGCAAAATTAATATAATCAAAATGACCATGCGATTAAAAGCACTATACAGATTTAATGCAATTCTGATCAAAATCCCAATGACACTCCTCATAGAAGTATAAAAAACAATCATGAAATTCATCTGGGAAAATAAGAGACCCAGAATAGCTGAAGCAATCCTTAGCAGAAAGAGTGAAGCAGGTGGCATCACTATACCAGACCTTAAACTATACTACAGAGCAATAGTAACAAAACCAGCATGGTATTGGCACCAAAACAGACTGGTAGACCAATGGTACAGAATAGAGGACACAGAAACTAACCCACAAAATTACAATTATCTTATATCAGACAAAGGTGCCAAAAACATGCATTGGAGAAAAGATAGCCTCTTCAACACATGGTGCTGGGAAAACTGGAAATCCATATGCAACAATATGAAATTAAACCCCTATATCTCACCACGCACAAAACTCAACTCAAAGTGGACCAAGGATCTAGGAATTAAACCAGAGACTCTGTACCTAATGGAAGAAAAAGTAGGCCCAAATCTCCATCATGTAGGATTAGGCCCCTACTTCCTTAATAAAACTCCTGTAGTGCAAGAATTAAAACCAAGAATCAATAAATGGGGTGGATTCAAACTAAAGTTTCTTCTCGGCAAAAGAAACAATCTGTGAGGTGAACAGAGAGCCTATATCCTGGGAGCAAATTTTTACCCTTCACACATCAGATAGAACACTAATCTCTAGGGTATATAAAGAACTCAAAAAGCTAAGCACAAAAAATCAAATAACCCAATCAACAAATGGGCCAAGGACCTGAACAGACACTTCTCAGAAGAGGATATTCAATCAATCAACAAATATATGAAAAAATGCTCATCATCTCTAGCAATTAGAGAAATGCAAATCAAATCTACTCCAACATATCATCTCACTCCCGTCAGAATGTCAGCTCTTATGAAGACAAACAGCAATAAGTGTTGGTGACGATGTGGGGAAAAGGAACACTCATACGTTGCTGGTGGGACTGCAAACTGGTGCAGCCAATATGGAAACCAGTATGGAGATTCCTTGGAAAACTGGGAATGGAACCACCATTTGACCCAGCTATCCCTCTTCTCGGTCTATACCCAAAGGACTTAAAAACAGCACACTACAGGGACACAACCACATCAATGTTTATAGCAGCACAATTCACAATAGCTAAACTGTGGAGCCAACCTAGATGCCCTTCAGTGGATGAGTGAATAAAAAAATGTGGCATATATACACAATGGAATATTGCTCAGCAATAAAAGAGAATAAAATCATGGCATTTGAAGGTAAATGGATGGAGTTGGAGAAGATAATGCTAAGTGAATTCCAAAAAGACAAATGCTGAGTGTTTTCTCTGATATAAGGAGGCTGATTCATAGTGGGGTAGGGAGGGGGAGCATGGGAGGAATAGACGAACTCTAGATAGGGCAGAGGGGTGGGAGGAAAAAGGAGGGGTCAGGGAGTTAGCAATGATGGTGGAATGCGATGGGCATCAGGATCCAAAGTATGTATGAAGATATGAATTGGTGTGAATATACTTTATATACAACATGAGATATGAAACATTGTGATGTACATGTAATAAGACTTGCAATACATTCCACTGTCATTTATTTTTTAAAAAAACCAATTAATAAAAAGACAATTATAAAGCAAGAACTGTCATAGGCAGATCTAAGACCCCATTTTGCTGCCTTCTATAAAAAAACATACAAGAGCTATTTCTGAGCAACTGAAATGGAAGCTGTTTTCTTATTTTAAAAAATTGTCTTTCTGTACTTTGTACCCCACAAATTGTACCCCACTCAGGATGCAGCGGTGGCGTGGTGAACTACATCCCTGGTTTGAATGCCCTTGTGGGTCTCCATGATTTTGAAGTAAATTCTCACCCACCAACCTCCACCCAATGACTTCCAACTCCTGCTTGAACCCAGGACAGTGGTCAACTGAACGGCAAACCTAATGCTTTTTTAGCTTCTGTTTATCATTTGCTTGCTGACTGTAGTCCTGCCTAGAGCCCACAGGTCCCCCTTATCAATGTTTTAATTTCTATGATTGGTTACCTTACATGACATAAGCAAGTCACTGAGTTGTGGGTTTTGTGCTTGCATTCTCCTTAGTGGACCAGGAACTGCTGTCCTCCCACAGAGCTTGAGTCTCTGCAGTGGGGGACAGTCCCTGGCCAGATAAACAAAGCTCTCTCTTTCGATTTGAAATTCGGACTTAGAGTGCTTTCTGGAGAGACTCCCCATAACAAAGGGGCCCCTGTTACAGATGGGACAGGAGCGACGTGTGGGGAAGGGCCCATCCAGTCTGGGCCTGGGTTTGTCCCGAATCCACGTCCCACTGGTTGCTCGCGGCCAGGTTGGTCCCGCAGCCGGTTACTGTCACCTGGTCCTCTCTGCCAGACAGAGTTGATGTCACAAGCCCCGAACGTCCAGGGTGCGCCATGTCCCGAGAGCAAGAGCAGTCTATCGGGTGTGCTGTGAGGAAGGCGTCTGGGGCTGTCTAGATCCACAGGGCCAGCGAGGCGAGTTAGAGACCCACCTGCAGGAGGACCGAAGTGTCACTGAGCAGTGCGCACTAGGACTCAGAAGGCATACAGGTGGGCACAGGCGGGATGCAGGTGGGATGCCTGGAGATGCCTGTGGGATGCAGGTGGGATGCCTGTGGGATGCAGGTGGGAT